TGTGCTTTACATAATTGATGTATGTATGGATTGTGATAAAAGTTGTATGAGCACCTAATCAAACGATTAAAAAAAATACACAAGACACCGCGGTTAAGCACTCAGCTACTAACCGCAAGGTTGGCCATTTGAACTACCACCTGCTCTGTGGGAGAAAGATGTGGCAGTCGGCTTCTATTAAGATTCAAGGTCAACTTGGATTGATGTTCACCCTGTAGGACTGCCCCTGTGGGTTTCTGAGACTGTAACATTTTTTAAAAATCATTTTATTGGGGCCTCGTACCATTCTTATTATAATCCATCCATCCATGTGTCAAGCACATTTGTACATTTGTTGCCATCATCATTCTCAAAACATTTTCTTTCTACTTGAGGCCTTGATATCAGCTCCTCATTTTCACCCCTCCCTCCCGTTCCCCCTCCCTCATGAACCCTTGATAATTTATAATTATTTTGTCATATCTTACACTGTCAGATGTCTCCCTTCACTCACTTTTCTGTTGTCCATCCCCCAGGGAGGAGGTTATATGTAGATCCTCGTAATCGGTTCCCCCTTTCTACCCCACCTTCTCTCCACCCTCCCTCCAGGTATCGCCACTCTCACCACTGGTCCTGAAGGGATACAGGAGTAGAGATCCTCATCTTTCTCCAGGAGAGCAGCTGGTAGTTTCAAACGGCTCACCTTGTGGTTAGTAACCCACAGTGTAACTCACTAGGCCCCCAGGGTTCCATTCCAGCAGATTTCCACCTAACATTGACTTCTGACCACCTGTCTGATTTTGTATTTTTATTTTCAGGTGTGCTGCGGAGCCCCAGGTGACACGAACCACTAAGGCTGGTGGTTAGCGCTCACCCAGAGGCACCTCTGGAGAAAGGCGTGGCACCAACGTCCCAAAATTAGCAGCAGAAAGCCCTGTGGAGCCCAGTTCTACCCCGACTCCTGTTTCAGTGGCTGAGATCAACAGCGGTGGCATCCTGTACTCGAACCCAAAACCAGATTCACTGCCATCGAGTAGATGCTGACCCAGAGTGACCCTATAGGACAGGGTAGACTGCCACTGTGTGTCTGTGACTGTAACTCTTCATGGGAGTAGAAAGCCCTGTCTTTCTTCATGGAGCTGCTGGTAGTTTTGAACTGCTGACCTTGAGGATCACAGCCCAATGCTGATCCTCTCCACCACCAAGACTCCTTATCACCCTGTCCAACAGCTGTAATTCTCAGGACACCCCTGCCTTGTCAATCTGTTATACCAAGCAACAGGTATCAGCGAGAGGAACAGTAGCATCCTCAGAACTGCCCCAGGGAGAAGCACTCGTATTAGTCTCCGTTGACAGGTGAGAAAATTAGGGCACAGAGCTGAAGGAGCCCAAGGTCACAGGCCAGGAGGGGTCAGGTGTACGGGAATGGGGCAGGCTGGCTCGAGGGTCCTTCCTCTCCACGGAGGAGCGTAAGTCTGCGCTCCATCAGCCTCTGGCAGTCTCTAGCCCACAGGGAGAAGCCAGCTCAGGGCACAGCTTGGACTAGGAGCCTTTTTTCTGTTGTTGGGAGGTGGGGTGGAGGTGCCAGCACAGAGATGAGCTGGAGAAACTCCCAGAAAATACGGAAGAAGCAGGGAATGCTTGTCAGCAGCGGCGCAGGCTGCTGCCTGGAACTGGAAGGTGGCAATTTGGGCCCAGACAGCAGAATGGGCTGGGCTGAGAAGCCCCCCACGCCAGCTCCCAACACCACCGCTGCATTCTTTGTCAGAGAATAGACTTCAGTAAAAATGAGCAAAGCCCACTAGCAAGCCCCTGCCCTAGAGTCCTCCTGAGAGCCCCTGGCTAAGGAAAGCTACCTCCTGGGCAGGTGCCAGGGTTGTGGGGTTCAGTGTCACATAGGGTTTCTAGGGTTCCTGGCAAGTCTGGTCACCTCTGTGTCTCCAGGCTGCCCTTTAAAAGTCCGCTTGTGCCCGCTGGGTCTAAGGTTAAGTGTTGTGTACTGACAGGACACCTGCGCTCTGCAGGGTCTCGGGTGCGCTCCGCGAACACTGGGACAGGTTGGGTGGGCGCGCTCAGAGAGCACGGCTGTGCTCGGGCCCGTCCCCAGCGGGCAGGTCCTGGAGCCAGGGGTGCCGTGGGTGCCCCTGGAACACTCTTCGGGAACCCGAGCGGGGCGAGCGTGCGACGCAGCTGCTGTCAGGCAGGGGAGGGCACGG